TTTGTTACAAACCAACTCTCATTCCACTAAACTTCATCAAAAGGGCTTTTATTTCATCGGCTGCAAATTATCAAATCCGCACTTATTTACTACACGATTTTTTTTTTCATTATACTTCATTTTGTATTGTCATATATGTCTCCATAGACCTACCATAGAGCATTCATTTATTTATTTATATGTTTCGTTTGATATCAAGTGTTTTTGACGACTTCATTTATATTCGAGATGTGAATATTTCAAATGGATCTATCTATCTATCTGAAAGGGATTTGAAACTGAAAATCAATAATATCTGCACTGTAATTCAATCCAAAATGAAATTTCACCCAACAATGATCAATCAACAGAAATCAACCATCAAACTAATTATGCAATGACATTTTCCGGTACTACAAATTTTCAGGTTGGTTGGTATTATTGACTGATCTAACAGCATCTGTAATATTTGCTGAAGTGAAATTTCGAGAAATAAGTATCCGACTAACTAATCATCAAATTGCTCGCGCATAGACCTCACACGTTTCGCGGCCATGTCTGATTGTTTGAATTTGCTCGTTCATTTTAGCGTTTCCAATTAGGTATTTGATGCATTCATGGAGAAAAATCTCAAAAAATATACTAAGGTATTCCAGAGCCATATATTTCGATATATATTTTTTATAAAAATGTCTGGAAAGGCTCATTCTCGAACAGGTCGACTGGTAGTTGCGAAATTTCTTTCATGAACAACAAAGCACAGTGTTGTAGGTTTCTGTTATGACGTCATCTATCATCACTACTATTTCAAATGGTAAATTTAGTTTTCATCAAGTCTCAATGGATTCATGACAGGTACCCGCATTTCATCAACAGAATTTGAAAACAGGTTTTGTATATATATTTCAGTTACTTATTCCATGTAATATAATTTCAATAATAATTTTATCAAAAATTCGAGATTTTATACCAACTATGTTGTAGCTAGGCGAAGGACCCTGTCATAAATCGATCATTCAAGCCCAACGGATAAAGTGCACATTAGAAGAAAAACCCAGATCAGAAACCAGCGACCGATGACGAGTTTCCCATTCCTGTTATGTATTATATTCAAGTTATTCTGAATATTTCTTCAAAATTTATATTTGTTATGGAAGACGATATTTCATAGAGAATTTTTCGATAGTCACCTTTATGTCTCAATGGAGACACGACAGGTACCCTTACGAGGGGAGCGTATCAACCCTTGAAGTCGGTAAACCCTAAAACAGTGTTTTTCATTGAGGGAAAAATGGTTGGCTATCTGTTCCGTTCATTTTCTGAGTAATCAAATGAACAGAATTTGAAGACAGTTTTCGTATATATTTCAGTTTTCAATTCCATGTAACTTTCATAATTTCAATCCCCAATCAATTTGAAATTCAAGATTCATTACAAATTATGTTTTAGATCAAAGAAGCAACGTGTTATTAATCGGCCATTCAAGCCCAACAGAAAAATTGCACAGAAGAGGAAACCAGACCAGAAACCAGCGACCGGTGATGACTTTCCCATTCTTGTTTCGTATTATATTCAACTTATTTCGAATTTTCCTCCACAATTTTATATTTGTTATGGAAGGCGATATATCATTTATCATAAAACATTTTTTGATAGTCACCTTTATGTCTCAATGGACACGACAGGTACCCTTACGAGGGGAGAGTATCAACCCTTGGCATCGGTAAACCCTCGTTGCAACCGGGGTAGGCGCCTGATGGGTTAGGTATATACAGTGTTTCTCATTAAGGAGAAAATTGTTGGCTTTTTCTGTTCATTTTTTTAATAATAGAGGAATATGTCGCATTTCAGAAACGGAATTTGAAAACATGTTTCGTATGTGTATATTTCAGATTCCTATTCCATGTTACTTTTTTAATTTCAATCCCCTATTTATTTAAAATTTGAGATTTAATACCAACATTACCTACTCGAAAAATGAGGTGTTTTGATCATTTAAAAGGAAGAAAGGTACACCCAATTGAATGTGTTATTAACGAGGTAATTAATGATGAATGATATATGGAGCAATTGGAAAATTATGATACTAATTCATATTTTTTTAGGATATTCCAGAGCTATGTGGAATATTAGACTTCACAGAATTTTCTATGGAAACACCTTTTGAAGAGGAGTGTATAAACTTGGACGTTCGTAGGCATCAGCAGAAAAAATGACTAATTCTTTTTTTTTTCTTCAGGATATTCCTGGACTGTGCCAGAATTGCTAATTCAGGGCACTACATTGGAATTTTAACTCTGTGAACGCCTTCCCAGATAGATACATGAAATATGAGGACCATTGACATAGGTTTTCATTAACGTTATATTCCTAATTCCGCAAATACTGCTATTCAATAGATTTTTTCAAGTTATTTAATATCGGATCGAACAGTCCAAAAATTAACAGTATGTTATGGTATCATGCCAGGTTCCTTCACGAGGAAAGTGTATCAACTTTGGCGTTCCTAATGCCTCTTTACAAAACAGAGTGTCGCCTAGCAAGAGTTAGGTATAAAATGTGGTTTTATATTAGTTCTTTTGCAAATTTATTTTCAACAATTGAAAAGCAATATAGGTGTTTCTTCAATGGCTATCTGCTCATAGAAGGGTCAATGTGAACTAACCTTATTATATTCCAGCTGAGAGTGTTGTGACATACATTATTATATCAGGAGAACAAATCAACACTTCCACGTACTACCAAGTATGGTTTGAGCAAATTCACTATCTCTTAGCTTAGAGCATATACCTACTAAACATATACAGATAACATCCTCCATGGTCGAAAGTGAAGCCAGTTTTGAGGAAACAAATGACAGTCTGCGGGTAATATTACCTATTTGCGCATGCGCGGGATTTGTCAAAATCAAGAGTCAAATCATGGAGGACGAATTTATATGTATTTATTCATTTGTTATATATTACTAATATATCTAGAATATAATAATATAATATTAGTATGTTGTTGAAGTTTCTTACCGATGCCTGTGAAAATGATATTCCTCCACGAAAATTTTTCCGATAGTAGAAGCACGTCAAAGCTTTGATATTGATGTCAAAGCTGTCAGTGGAATGGGGAGAACAGAGCCACATTCCACATTCGATTCTATGATAATTCAAACATTTTTATTTCGAAATTTCAGCGATTTGAGTGCTTTTGAAAATCGGCCGATGGTGACAGACGAACAGGTATACAAAAGTAAGAAATAATGATATTTTGTTGAAGTGAAAAGTATACAGAAACTTGAGATCTTTGGGCTGATGGTTGTATAAACTTCTGCTGCTTTGAAACTCTTAGACCATAGAGAAACTTTGGTTTGTCTATGCTGAAGCCTCATGAAGTCAATTATGCTTGATTGATCCTTTTGCTTACTGAAATTTCAACCACATTTTTAGGTGGGCATAAAGAACTGGAAGAATTCAGTTGTGAAGCTCACACCCAAGCAAGTGGTGAAAAAAGTCAGGCATAGATGCAATGTAGTAATGAGTAAAGCCTACAACACTATACTAGCTTTTACAATTAAAGGAAGACGAAGATTGAAGAAACTTTCCTACAAAATTAATCATGCAGTTGATGAAAAAGGATAAGTCTGAACTCTTGGTGAATTGTAAGTCTTATATAATTTCTAACTTCCATAAATAGGTAACTGATGATATTTGTTTTCCAGATAACAAATTAACTGCCCTACATACATTTCAACCATGAAGCAGGAAGAACAACATTTTAAAAGATTCCATCACTGTCAAAATCACACTTGAGCAAGGTCTTGAGATGAAAAATAATGGAGATATTTCATAGTCATTTTATTTTTATTCCTTGTATAAAATTACAAGCTTTAAATTATTCACAGTGTTAATCATATGCTGGTTTATATGTTGAAATAAAGCAAAATTGAGAGGTACTCATTGAATTTTTTATTATTACAGAAAAAGTGAAAAAAAATCATTAGATTAGCTACTGAAATTGCACTTGTCTTTTCTATGGAAACATCATAGGCACTTTCACACGAATAAATCAGTCCTGGTAGAAGTTACATCAGCACTCTGGTAAGCAAGTTCTATCCTTCCAGCATCTTTGTCATTATCAGATTCATTCGATCCTCTTACTGAGGATGATGTGGTTGATATAGCTGAAGACATATTCAATTTTTTTATGGAAGTGACCTTCCTCTTTCCCATTCATATCCATCGATCACAGGTTTTACATTTTGATGCATTGTAATCAGTGAATTCTGTGAAGGTATTCAATCTGCATCACAGAAAATGTACATACCTACTTCTGCAATTATTGTATTTGAATTCCCTGGAAACTTGAAAGAAATGCACATTACATAGAACACTGAGAAGATATTTTCTTGAAATGAAAGAAATTACCTTCATAATCTGTTTCCAAGAAGTGTCTGCTACAGACAGGCATATATATTTGTAAATGGGCTTCCCAATTTTTGTAATGTTCTGCCACACTTCCTATAATTTTGCATCTGTTGGGAAGCTGTACATTTGTATGTTTATAATGTCTTGCACTTGTTGGCCATTATTTGAAGCATTCTGAGACAAAGAAATTCAGCTAACTCATTCCAAAACCACAAATTAAAGCTGTTTGCTTCATCAAAACTACCAAAACTTCGCAAATATGAATTCCAATGAAGTCTCGGTCATGATTTCTTGTCTGGGGCTTCAGATTCAGATAACAAAATATAAACATTGAATTTTAGGTTATATCGTACATTTCACGAAAGTTTTAATGATATACGCTTATGTTCATTACAAAGCCATCCCCTGCTGAAAGGAATTTTGCAAACTAATGTCTTTTCTCATTTTTAGATGACGCATGCGCTGTAATACAGTTTTGCTCACAGACTGTCATTCATTTTATTTTTTGGCTTCACTTAGAGATCCTTGTTATCCGTATATGTTCAGTAGGTATATGGCTTAGAGTAACTCAAATAAATAAATAAATTAATGAATGAACAAACTCACCGAAAGCTCGATGGACCTCAGTCGATCGACGCTCTCCGAATACCACCGCTCATCCGCCGGCGAACAGTACTGCGCGTGCGCCACCGGCGAGAAATGACTAGGCGAGTTGCTGGGCGACCGTTTCACGTTGCGGTCCTCCGCCAGCAGCGACGTAATGCTGTAGTTCGATTGGCGCGGCGGTTTCGCATCTTCGACGCGATTCGCCGAGACCGCCCCAGCCGGGTGACAGTTGCCGGTCGAAGTTGACGGGGTCGAATTGGCTACGGCTTGCGGCTTGCTGCGGCTCCTCTTCTGCGAGTTGTCCTCGCCCGGCGTTTTGTCCTTCTCCATTTCGCGGAGGAAGCGTTTCCTGGGAGATACAACCATTTCGGCTCTCGGTGGGGTGCTGGAAATTATGGTAACGTTGATACTGGTTGGTACTGGTACTGGTGGGGGACGTTTGCACGTCAGCAACTAGTCCCTAATGGGACCTTTTTGCAAGTCCCAAGGTGTTTTCAATGACTGATGTGGTTTGCCTAAGAGAGCTGGCTAACATCCTTTTCAGGTACCGCCCATCAGCTCTCTTTCAGAGTTTTTCGGCTGTGTTTTGTGGGCTAGTAATGTACTCACTACCATATGCTGCAGTGGCAGGCCTGCTAGCTATCATCGTTAACCCCCGTTAGAGACCGAGGTCCACTAAGCAGTTGGCCCGCTCTCACGCCCAGCTGGTAGTTTTCCACACCCACCTACATACACCGTCCTACTTCTTCTCTGATGCTCACAACCACATCATCATCTCTTTCTGCGTGTTCTGTGTAGGCTTTGTTACTAACTCCATGCGCCACTTTAGGAGCAGCACTGTTAATTGGAATGCAACAGCGAATCGTGCAGGACTATCCCCAGCCGATGCTCCGAAACTTTACAATATTTAATTCGTAAATAAAATATTGAAAATAAGTAACTTGATCGTGCTGGGAATCGAACCCACGACCTTGCGGTCGTGAGACGGACGTTCTTCCACTGCGCCAATCCCGGCTTCTGGTAACATTGATATATACAGGGTAATTTCAATGCATTAATGACCAGGATAAACTAATAGTGATTGTGTATACTGAATGGCCCGAAAACGGTCCACCCAAGCAGAGAACATAAACAGAGACTACAAGGACCACTCTAAGCTCCGCCCGAAAATTTCCCTTCCTGCCCCGTCTCCGATCTCAGCACTTCTCAGTACTCTGGCGTATACCGATAGTCTTCACATTAGGCTTCTGGGTAACGCAGTGTACTTGTATACCGGTTGGAATCCAATAAGACACCTCACTTCTTCATTTAGCATTAGTTTATTGTCATTATTTTGACTAATGAGAATGGGTTTGTGTTGTGTTGTGTTGAAGGCTGTAATAATAAACCAGGGCATTCATTGAGAATATTTCATTTGCACATCCATATGAACATTTTCCATTGGAATATCTGTTATCCCTGTATACGAGAGTTCATATTTATTGTACTATAAAATTCGCTAACCCTGATATTAAGAGGGGTTTAACCCTATGAGCGATCATTGGGGAAACAAGGAACAGCAGAAATCAAAATACTCGAAGCTCGCTAAATAAATTCAAGATTTTTTTTCACGGATCGGTTCTAGAAGGTTGAATCTAGGCATCTCTCGGAGTACTTTTTCAAATTTTTGAAAAAAAATAGTCGAAAAAAATTCCAGAAAATTGACCAGATTCACTATTTTTTTTCTCACTAGGTATATATTTTTTTCGAAAAGTACTTCGAGAGATGCCTCACTTATACATTTATCTTCGTTGTCAAAAAAATTCGCAAGGATCCATTCAAAATGTCACCATCAAAAGTGATTTTTGCTGGACCTCTGCAGACGCAATTTTGGATCATTTTTCTTCACTGATACGAGCGCCCTCACACGAATATGCACTTCTACATGGATACTATGAATGATTGAATGAATAGTGAATTCATTCATAAAAAGTAGCACTGAAGCTATTCAGAAAATTTTAGCACTGGAGATGAAACCAAAAGAAGTTTTAGATGGGTTGATTGAATTTTTGTATACGACGTATAGGTACGTTTATTAGGTAACCCATATAATAAAAATACGTATGGTTTGCAGGTAGGACACCAATTCCAATAATTTCAAAATGCGAATATAAGGAATGCCAGAAGTTCCATCATATTTATTCTAGGTAATAACTGGTATTATATATTATACGAGTTACATATATTTTAATATTCTTGTAAACATTAAGAATTTGCCTTCTGGAAATAGATAAACAGAGAAATCTCTCATTGAAGAATAATAGTTTCGCTCCAGGTGACTCACCCAATTAGCTCATAAAAGATTGAACATGTTTGGCAAGCGGCAAGCGATGGACATAAAGGCGGTGAGCATAAAAGCGGCGGACATAAAGGGTCCGAAAATCCTGGAATTCGTGTTATACACGGGGGATTGGAATATTGTTTTTGTTCAGTTTACTTCAGTATTCCGACAGTGACATTTGCGTTTTTCAATATTTGTGCATTATTTGTATGAGCAAAAGTTATAATGCCGAGAAGTAATTATCGAACTGGTAATAAATACCGCAGAAGACAATCTGTCAAAATATACCTCGCAATGATGAATGTTGGCAAAATGAAATGTAATCGAAATAGTGGATAGTAGATTCGAAAGGAATATGGAGATTACAAATTGAAGTTGTTCCTGTAATATATACAGGGTGTCTCAGGTTTAGCTCGTCTAACTTTGACTATCGAAAGCAAAAATTGAAATATTATACACGTATTTATTTGTTTTGTCGTGGAGACACTTGTTTTCTTTATACGGGGTGTTCGAGGTCGCATGAATTTTTGGTTTTTATTTTTTATTTTTGTTGAAACCAAACCTAGAGATTTGACATTCGGTAAGCACTTTTCTATCTGTTATATATGAACTGTCCCTATCCTTCTTAGTTTCCTTGTTATTCGAAATAATGTTACACCTACTATGCATACATAACAATTTTATAACCTAAATGTTTATCTTACATCAAATTATCATTCGAATTGAATATTGAATGGTTCACGTACACGAAAGATATTGAAACAAATGAAAAACACAAAGTGTGGTGAAGAAATAATAATGATTTTTCATTAGCTTCGATCCACCCACTAGCGTCCCAATAAAAAAAAATCTGACGAGTTCCATGTCAGAGGGCTCGAAAAAGAATAACATCGTTACTCCCATTGGGGGTGACGATAACACCCAGTTTTTTCAATGGATAAGGACTGTTCATATTGCCGATAGAAAAGTGCTCACCGAATTTCAGATCGCTAGGTATTGTTTCAACTGAGACAGAAATTAAAAACCAAAAATGTATGCGATCCTTAACACCCCGTATAATTAAAACATGTTTCTCCATGACAAAACAGAAAAATACGTATCTAATATTTTGAGTTTTGCTATCGATTGTCAAAGTTAGATGAGTAAAACCTGAGACACCCTGTATATGGCGTTGTTTATTACACAATATAAATTCTGCTTATACAAACCAAAAAATTCCACTCATGTAATAGTTATTTTTCTTCCCCTGTAACAATGCATTTTGATATTCCATTTGCATTTGTCGTCAATCAATAAATTTAATCATGGATAGGTGAGTGCAAGTTATTCGAATAGCAGTATTTTTCTGTAAAAAATTCCCTATCTTGAACTGTTTTTGCTGCCTTTCTATTATTCAGATTCGTACTTTCGAATTATATTTTTGCAGTTGAGTTGATACATACCACTAATTTATGCTCATATAGGGTATACCGGGTATATTTCTTTGAAAACTTATCACCCCTACAATGTCATTTAACATTTTTGAGGGGCTGGCGGCTGGCATCAATGAAGGCAAAGGGGATGAAACGAGCAAGGTGATTTTTACGTGATAACATGTCCTCCTCATAGTTATTAGTGTAGCGGGACACAAGGTGAAAGTAATCAAAAAAATTTTTGGAAGTAGAAAGATATCAGACCCTCACTATCCTATCTAGAAACAATTGACTACTTTTTTCCATGGTACCGAAAAAAGTTATAAACGAACAAACTCAAAAATTACAAAAAAAATCTACTTCGCATGTAAATGTATAAACCTTTGTAACTTGGAGACTACATAACTTAGATGCCTCAATTTATCATCATTTTGTTGAGGATATGATGAAGATTCGATCGGATTCGATCCATGGTATATAAACTGGCAAAATTGAGTTTTTTATATGTGAAAATAATTTTTTTGTCACGCATCACATGAGTAATTTAGCATTAACACCTCTTCAATTGATAATAACTTTCTTTGTCACTATATGAATTTCAATTCTTTTCTCCCATCTAGATAGATTGAAGTGTAATGAACAATTTGTTTCGAATAAACTTTTCGCACGTTTCAAAAATAAACTTTTTATAGCGCTTTGAGTGATAACGTACAACTTTAGATAGGTCATGCACAGTGAGTGAGACAGAGTGCGATAGATACTGGTGCATGAGTGCGGAACGAAGATGAAATAATATCAAGAGCTCCATCCACAGATATGATGAATATAATAGATTTATATCGATAAATTTACATATTTGCTCGCTAAGAATGTCAATTTTAATATAAAACATTGAATCTAACTAAAATTTATCGCACATTCCTCTCAAAGACTCTGAAAAAGTTTTTTATCATAAATATACCATATTGGTATACTATAGTTTTTCTAGCTGTATAATGTTGATCAATTTTTCTGGGAACTCATGTTTGGAAAATTCTAGCATCTCCCAATAGGTATCTTCTTGGTATTTTTTCTTTACCATTTTCACTTCGTTGCCTTTGAAGTGAATTATTTTGGGACCATATTTATGAACTGAAGTTATTTACCTACAAATTCAACCAAGAACGCTCCTTTCTCCATTCCCAAATGAGACAGTTATCCTCCCCGAATCTTTACTGTTTGTTCTTGTCTAGAGCACGTAAACGCCGCTGAATCGTTCTCACTCGTGCGCTCGGATGGCCTCTTGCGCATTAGACAATAAATGCTTCTACAAAGTTCATTTTTGAAACGTGCGAAAAGTTTATAGGAAACAATTTGTTGCTTACATTTCAATCTATCGAAAGATATCATAAAAATCGAAATTCATATCGTGAACTAAAAAGTTATGATAAACTGAAGAGATGACAATGGAAATTTTTTCGCGAATTCTGTACAAAATGATACATTTTGGATCGAAAAATAATTCAATTTCCCAACATATTATATATGAATCGAATCTCCAGAATATGCTTGATCAAATTATGAAAAGACTACGTATATAAGTGTTATAATTGCGAAGTTACGAAGGTTTATATATTTACGCGCAAAGTTATTTTTTTCTTAAATTTTCGAGTTTGGTCGCCTATAACTTTTTTCGGTACCATAGAAAAAAGTAGTCAAGCTGGAATATTATGTAATAATCATATATATTCAAGGTGGTGAAGGTCCTATATCTTTCTACTCCGAAAAAAAAAAGTCTGTAAGGAAGAGGATTGTGCCTCGTTCTCCTCTACACTAGATGTATATTGCCTAAAGCACAACTTGTACGCTGTGGCTGTGCCTGTGGGTATTCGGAGAATTCAGCGACCGCAGATGCATAGGGGTAACACTCAAGGCCGCTTTTACTATAAATGTTGAAATATTTTACGCTAGAATGAGTTGGAGTGAGACACTAGACGACTTCCTTCGTTATCGGACCCCGCCTCCTTCGGACAGGATTTTTACTTCCCCCTTTACACCTTAGATAAAGTTTGACCTTTTTCAGAGGGTAAACCCCTCCTTAAGAATAAAAAAGTTGATACGCCAAATATAAAATTGAATATCTTGCAGAACATGTAAGAACGTTCATTGGAAGTTTTTTTTTTGTTCAAAATCTGAATAATATGAGGAATATATTTTGTTTATGAACGTTCCATTTTGTCTCTGTTATTACAAAAGGTTCAAACTCGTTTTTTAGTGAAAAAATCTGTTATATTACTTTTTCTTGAAAAACACCTATTTATTTTGTTAGTAGGTACTGTTATTGCTTTTAGAAAAGGGCCTAAGTTATTCAATATTCTATTGAAACAAAACATGTGAAATTAAATAGCAATAATAAGCATTTTGGCCTTCTCCTAATTGAATATTAATAGTATGCTCCCCTTTATTCTACATTGACTTATCTACCTCATTGTGGAAATCGGTATTGAAATAAAATGAAACATCATGAATGCCAATGATAAAGCCAAAATAAACAACACCGTTTTCTCTCTTTGAGTCGCTCTCTAAAAATATCAAGACAGGCACCTTTGTAATAATAACGGCAATTAGTTCATTATTGAGATCACATATTGTTCTTGTTCTTCTTCATGAGTTGTAAATGATGGAAATATAATAACTATATTAGGAACATTTTATTCTTGATACAAAATATCTCCTGAACGGACCTTCTATGCTAAAATTCATAATATTAAAAAAAGTATGTATTATTCAGATTACATTTTCATTGAACCCCGTAGCGAAGCCTCTCACTTCAATATGAGCATGGCATTTCAACTGACCCTCATAAAAACTGAAAACCAGCTGCAGGCTGCCGCCGCTTTTGTGAGCGCTACATGAAATTTCCGCCTGAATGTGAACCTTCTAGTCTCTGTTTATGTTTGGTGACCCAAGTTTTCTCTGTTGTAATGCAATTGAGAAAAAACCGCTGGAACAACTCAGATTTAATTTGGCAGGGCAATTATTGTATCTCAAAGTTGAAACTCTATCTCTCTTAATATTTGAGTGATTACTATCTGTAGTTCAGAGATTACCGATTTTTAAAGAATCACCCTGTATATATGAATCATAACCTTTTTTACATTCAGAGATATGAACTTACCTTATTCTGAAACCTTTGTCAATTAATTGTTGCACAATAGAGAGAAGGGACCTTCTGCCATATTCTTTCTTAACTCTTATGGAAGTCCTTTCACTACACACTGAATTATTATATTGAGGTTCGGGAGAGGTCGATTGAGGTGCCCTTCTTTTCCGGCTTTGTTTCTTCGGTCTCTTACCCTTTGGTTGCCAAAAGTAAAACATCAGTTCTTTTGATATGTTAGGAGTCGGGTTTGTCTGTTTCCAGGAATGGTCTCTCTGCCAGGGAGATGATTGAATGGAACTGTTATCATCTGAAACTATTGCATTGATTCAGAAAACAATCTTGATTTTCCAAGTCTAATTCATTCATTATTCTCAAGGCTCATTTATTATGACATATGAGGAAATGCTCTACAAGATTTTCATTTCAGTTCCGGATTTTTCCTGAGTATTTGCAAGGCTATTCAATTTTATCCATATATTATTGCAGAACAAGTACCTACTCATTAGAAAAATTAGAGGTTAAGGGAACAAATATTAAGGTGAGTGATAGGAAGAACTCTTTTTGGTCTTGACTTGAATGAACATAATATGAAGGTTGATGAAAGAAAATATTCCTTATGGTTACTCATCAAAAATGGAACACTTAGCAATAATTGCCAATAATGAAAGCCCATGGCATTTGGAGGTTTTATTTATTTATTGAAAATGTTACTTCCAGTCAGAATCAAGTTCTGGTATACAGAAGTATAGTTAACAATAATACCTAAAACTATACAATTATGATAAACTAATAAATAATAATATTTGAAAACGTTAAGTATTGTTTTTCTGCAATTTTTTATATTATCTGGTAATTTGTTATATTCCAAGAGAGCAGCGTGGGTGAATCTTTTTTGGCCTATAGAAGAATTAGCGACATCAAGATGAAATAAACCATGTTGTTAATATACTGTCAATTTTGAAATGAACCAAGTTGAGCATCAAAATTAGCCAATCACAACCCATACTAAATCATCTAAGGACTATTAGTATTTTTTGCATTTCCATTTTGTTGTAGCTGTTATGATTTTGAATTTTTTTGATATTAAATCATATGAAATCAGTTTCATAGTTTGATATTTTATATTTTTTCTGTATGATGAATTGTGTATTTGACCATATATTGGCAATTCTAATTCTTTTCCTTTCCATTGTTTCAAAGTTATTAGAGCAAATAGTTCATTACTGAACACAATGGAAATTGCCTGAATCAAATAATTTTCTTATACTACAGTGGTTTTCTTACAATTAGCTTTTTGTATAATAAGAGCAACTTGAGTGGATATTTAGGTCATTAAAGACACCATCAATTCTTTGCCAACTTCTGATATGTGGTGATGTTACTGGTGTCACAGGCCATTTTTAAATAGCAATTTTATGATAATTTGTTGTGGACTTTGTAAAATTATCAATATTTGGAGCAGTATCACTAAGCACAATTATGAGGTGTTAGGCATGCAATAACTGTGGGTAATCTTCTTAATCAAGAATTTGACAAAATATTCTTATAAGCCACTAGTTTTGTTAACAAGTTACTGGATGTTTTATTTTTCTGCTATGTCGTCCAAATGACTTCATTTCTAAAGAATATTTGGTTTGTCAAATGAATTCATAATAGTAAATGCATAATGCATCCTGATGTTGTCTTCTAATTTCCCCTTTTTTTTTCTAAAAATCAAAACAATACCGAAAATCTGTTATTCCCAATTGGAAAAAAAAATTATCTGGATTTTTTTCATCAAAAATAATATGCCAATAAATGGATTCCTGATGTTCCTTGATTTTATCAAATTTAATTTGGTGGATTTCTTTTGCTATTAATACAAAGAATACACAATGAAATAAATTCATGGTGTATCCTCATATTAATGTTGCATATATTTTATCCTTCTTTGCCCTGAAAATATCCGAAATCTGTAATTCCAAAGAAGAAAAATCATCTTGGATCTATTCTATTATTATTCTATTCTAATATTTGTGGAAAACAATGGAAGATATAACACAAGATGAATTGATTATGTGATTGTCATATTCAATTCACCCTCTTTTCATCCTAGAAAAATTCAGAAATCTGTGATTTTGAATAGGAAAATTATTTGTTTCACTAGGCAGCAAAGTAGTAGTATTTTCAATCTATGGTAGTAGCAAGTCTAGGTATTCCACCAAGGCAGCCAATCTAATTGCTGCCATGTGAAACATTAAATTCTTTCTCCAAATGTTATAAAACCAATTTTGTGTAATTTCTTTTTCAGAACTACATCAATTTGTGTTCACCCAATGTCAGTGCCAATTTTGATTAAAAATTTCATTCAAAATACTTGGATGCATAGCAACAAATTTTTTTTGAATTGACAGAGAAAGTATATCTTTGCTGCCTGTTAAGTGTCATAGAAAAGCTTTCTATGCAGTTTGGAGAAAAATAATCTTGTTCTAGATTTCTTCATAAAAAATACCTACTAAAGATATGCTATAAACAAAATTAATGATGTCTTCTGATGTTGTTGCATGGTAAAACAGTGTAGTGTTATCATTACAAAATCTATTTCTTTATTAATACTATAAAGTAAAAAATTCCAATAATGATATTAGAGAAAGTGACAAAAATATTGTAAGAACAAACTGAACATATTCTCTTTGAAACAATAATGATCGATTAAATATTCATCAACTCATTATCAACATTGAAGAAGACACTGCAGGGGAAATTTGTGCTAAAAATTGTATTCATTGAAATCAGGTGAAAGGCAAATTCATTTTGTCATATATATTGCTCTTCAAACACAGGTATTTTCATATTTTTTCATTCTTTGAGTGAAACTCTAAGATTTATGGAATACTGATCATCACCCTATGGATTAAAATTTGAAAAATTGTAGAGAAATTGCTCATATCCCACTATATAAGAACATTTCTTCAAAAGTTCAATAAATAGAAATTAGAGAACCTAGATGGATTTGTTAATATTTCAAGGATTTTGTAAATTGAAATCATATGAGAGGCAAATTTGATTGCTCAGTTAAACACAAACTCAGCTTGGTTGAATCTTTCTCAATTAACTGCACCTAGAAAAATCCAACTGAGATGAAGAAACAAAATGAATAAATGCTCAATTTCTGTCCTTCAATATTTTGAATCTATTTAATAAATGGATATCAACCAACTCACCACTAAGAGAAGTGCTACTTTCTTGTCGATATGCTGGAGTAGAAGATGCTGTACCCTGTGGGGGCCAATAAGTCTTTCTAGGAACAGATACCCATGACATTCTCTCCCCTTCCCTAGACCTTTCCAATTCAAGAATGAATTTTCCATCTTGAAAATAATATAAATCATAGATTAGATTATCAAGTTTAGATTTCAATGGCTGATATTATTCCCAATTATTATAATGAAAACCAATCAAGTAACTTCCAGAAGAACAACTAGCTAACCTTTGTGGGTTAATAATTATGTATTCTGTGGATAGACAAGTCTAACTAATAAAATAATGGTAATAATAACTGCAGAGATCTCTTTGCATACAGATATTTGGTGAGTAAATCAAATTCAGTCCAAAGGTGGAAATCTCTGTGGAAATGTAGGAAGGGAAATTTTGAATACTCCCAAAAGTATGTAAATGGAATGGAACATAATCAATCATGTTGGTAATAATAGATGATTTGTTAATTGAATATAAATGCAAAACATGCTCTTCTTCTGGGACTGGGACAGTGCTACAATCAAGATATATACTCTCTCAGTAGTTTCAGCAAACAATAGCAGAAATATTATTTCACAATAGCAATCCATCACTGAGCAAACTGACCTTTGAAAAATTTGAGTCGTCCTCCTTGCCCATAATTAGTTTTGTGGCACTCCTCCTTAATATTTCTGTCAGCATTCCCATTCATACCATGTAACCTGCAGGGAGATTCTATTTCACGATCGTCGATTGTCGTACGATACGATGATAAACTCGACATCGAATTTCTTTCCGATTCAATTCCACGACCAAATCGTGATCGAATATAACTTCGGAAATCGTCGGCTTTCTGTACATTTTTGGTGAAATGGGATGAAATTTTGATTCAATGAAATGACAATTGACTGTATTGACACCACTGAACTATTTAAATGTTATTAATTTTATTAATGAATATTACATTTTTTTGAGTTTTTTCACAATCAAACAGTTATGTTACCTATTATCCGAGACCGTATTGTAGAAGCTGAAAATCGTATATTAAATTTAAATTTAATTCGCCGAAGACAACAGCTGCGAAACATCAGTAATCCTTTTGCTCTTCCAGAAAATAGGTTCATAGAGTTATTCAGGTTGAACAAAAGGTTAGTTCGTCATTTGATAGAGTCATTGAGGCCTCATCTAGTTGAGAGATCGAATAGAAAGGGTATAACTTTGGAAACCAAAGTATTTTGTGCACTGCGGTTCTATGCTACTGGTTCTTACCAACGTTGTGTTGGTGAAGAATACAATTGTGGTTTAAGTCAAACTAGTATTCATAGATGCATTTATGCTGTTACAAATGGACTCCTCAATCTTGTTGGTGAAAATATAAGGCTTCCAGATACCATTCAAGAAAGAAATTCTATAAAACTAGAGTTCATGAATCAGTGGGGTTTTCCTGGTGTCATTGGTGTTATAGATGGAACACATATTGCTATACTGAAGCCCAAGGAAGAAGAGCATAATTTTATAAATAGAAAAGGTTTTCACTCCATCAATACCCAAATCATTTGTGACCACAAATTGAGAATTCGCAGTTTATTTGCCAATTTTGGAGGTTCTACTCATGACTCATACATATGGCGTGTTTCTCAAGCACATCAGTTCATGAGAACATTAGGAGAAAATCAAGAATCATGCTGGCTTCTTGGAGATAGTGGATATCCCTTGCAGCCCTACCTAATGACCCCATTTGTCAATCCACCTGAGGGGGGTCCTGAAAGGGCTTACAATACTGCACATATTGCTGCAAGGAATTGTGTAGAAAGGTGCATAGGTGTCCTAAAAATGCGGTTTAGGTGCCTCTTGAAAGAAAGATCTGCACGCTATAATCCAAGATTCATGTGTGATGTCATTCAAGTTTGTGCAGTGCTGCACAATATGTGCATTGAAGAAAATATTCCTTTTGAAGATGCTATTTTCAATGAAGATTTTCCAGCTGCTGCAGTTCCCCAGAATATCCCTAATCCACAACAAGGAATTCAGGCTAGGAATATCATTGTCAATAGATATTTTAGATAGAATTCATGTTGAGTATTAGAGTTGAAATTGTTTAAACTCACTTAACATTAGAAGTTTGGTATTTTTGGAAATATAAATAAATTTCAAGTATTTCATTTTTTTTTAGTATAATTTCAAGTCTCATAATCAGTCTTGAATAATTGAAAAACACAAACATAACATTGAGTTGGATATATCCCTCTAAAATAAAAATAAAAAATATATTCTTCACCTACTGAACAGTTCCTTAAATATAATGTACTAGGTACCTCATTGGTATATCATAACAAATAATGACTTATATTATCACAACCCTGAATAATCCTGCACATTGCGTTCAAACTACATTCAAACTACTTATTTGGCTTTAGTACAGCTTCTGTCAGCCTATCAATACTAGCAGATATTTTACCTAGTCCTTGGTTCACTACATTTTTAATGTCTTTCAATACTGAGATTGTTTCTGCATAAGCTTCATCTTGAAGGGTCTTCCGCTTTTTATTTGCTGGTTGCACAGAGTAATCATGATCAACACCAACATATTCGTGAGGGATCTTTAGGGGATGAGTTTTAATTGGTCTTGCCTGGGGTCCTGCACTTGTGGATGGTTGGTCTAATGGCTCACCAACAATACTTTTTTCTCTCTGAACAATATTGCTCTAAAAAAATAATAATATAGGTACCATGAATGATGAAAGTGATTTGTAATGAAAGACAAAGGTGCTAGTTACATACTAACCACAGCCACTTCCGAACAACCTGTGCCTTTGTAAAAGCTTTCTCCCAAAATTTTCAAGGCCCTTTGTTCAAAATTACTCAGTGGTGAGGTATCTGAAGGGCCTCCTCCTGTTTTAAATATATCCACTTGGATAGTGCCAGCTTTCTTTTTCAGTAAGTACTTGAAGTCAGTCCAACTCTGGGAAAAAATATTGATAAGTATACATAACACTTCACAGATCTACCTTGCTATATCTTACTTTTTGCCATTTTTCTGGAGTTCTCTCTCCAAGTCCCAATGAATTCAACTCTTGGCTAAGTCTCAGCCATAATTTTTTATTCATTTCCCGACCATTAGGCCCAGAAAAACGTCCTGTGGCCATATTACTATGCTCTTCTAAGAACGAAATCAGTATTTCCCAGTGGGCATCTTTGAGTTTGAAAGCCATCACTTATCTATTAATTTCAAGATCACAAATAATAATGAATAAAAAATAATATTCAAGAAGCAAAGATATCCTAACCTGAAATTTTCAGATGGAAAGAAACGATATGATGAAAGATAAGGATAGATTGTCTAAATGCATCAACTCGACTCCTCTTGAGCTATCGAGTAGTCGTATCGAGTTAACACGATTCATTCGAGAAACAGAATACCAAATATCGAAGAAAGATGGCCGATTCGACTCGATTCGTGAAATAGAATCTCCCTGCTGTGCCCTTCTTCTGTCATTTTGGAACATTTTGTCAAGATGGTGTTTGAGGAAGGCTGAAATTCTGAAATATGCATTTCATAACTTATTTCCACTATTTGTGCCCCTTTCGTCACACAACATCATGTTTCTAAAATTCTTGTTGGATCCGATTATTTCAAACCAATACACCTGCTGACTCCTTTTCAACCCGTCGCGTTGTTTCACCATCAAATATTATCCATAGCAAACAATTATCAAATTTCTTCAGATAGAATATAGACATGTTTATGCATAACTGAAATTTGAACAATACCGATAATTTAAACCGACTTTTCAGGAAATTTAAAGTAGCCCAGCCACACTCCACTTCCACTCCGTCCCGTGCTCAAATTGATGATGTTGACGGTGGCTCAGTCGGTTCGTTCATAAGTTCATTCACATTTCCACACTTCATATTTGAAATTGTTTTATTCGAGTTTGTGAGTCGATTGGAGAAGCGAAATTAAGGCAAATGATGAAGACTGGTATTATTTACAAGTGTTATTCATATTTTGAATAGATAAAAGTATAAACACCGAATTAAAATTAATTATTGCCAAATTATTCAAAATTCGCGCTCTTCATGATCTATCAAGCTTAACATTTTCTGTTTATCTGCTTGACAGAGCGTCATCTTTTGATCTTCTGCTGCTGTAAGGCCAAATTAATTTCAAAATCTACAAAATGATTCATTGTGACCGTAGGCATGTAGCAGGAAGTAATTTGAATAGAAAAAGGATATTCTGTGCGTTTAACGCGATGAAACAGTTTGTTGCCGTGGCGGTGTTTTTGAATTCCCTTTCTTTTTCAGTTGCGAAATTTTAATATGGATACAAATTGAATGAACAGTGAAAAGTGAAATCAATAATCAGAAGATAGAGGCGTGCGCTGTTTTTCCAGACATTGATCAAGGCGAAATATGGCAAGTTAATTCTATACATCTATATGAAAAGTTACATAAAAAAAATCGGCATGGAGACGAAATCAAACTGAGTGAGAGGTCAAGGCATGTCCTTCTTCCTCCCGCTTTCGCTTAGGAGAGCCGGCTGCATATTTCCACCGTCATCTGATAACGAAATGATATATGTCCCAAAGGAAAGTGAAAACATTGTAATTCATCGAACGGCGTCTGTGCAAATCACTACAATCACTATATCCTGATAAAAATGATTGAGAAATTGCACTTTCCTGTTGCGGCGATTTGATAACGAGATAAGAATTATGCCATCCAATACCAATGGTAAAAAAAAAACTACCTGTGCCACCCCTCAGTACCTGATCCACATTCACGGCACAGCGATTCATTTGCAGCTATATTATTCCAGACATACTCCGTCATGTCGTGATAGTGGATTGAAACAAAATAAAGTGGATACAGGAAAAAATGTCCCTTTTGCGAATATCAAAACGTGCCGCGATTCAAATTGTTCTAAGTTAGTGGCGAAGAGCGTCAATATTTCTGTGAATATTTCGCCCTCGTCGAACGATATAATATACCAGTGTGAAACTCCATATGGTGCTCACACTTCAAATATTCCAACACTTTAACGTCAATTTCCATCAAGGGACCCTAATTTCCATCAACGAACCCTAGATTCATGGATAGCGGGATGCATGGCCAGAGAAAATACGGTGGAAGTGAATTCTGGTCGAGCCCTGACTTGTGAACAGTTGGTATTATTATGTGACACTTGTGACAGCGCCGTCAGCGTCAGTATCATTTTCTAGCAGCTGCGCCTGCGCATCTGACGATCTGACTGAAATTAGTTGGTGAAATTATCCAAAGTCTCTGCTCTGAAAGTCTGTAATCTTGAAAGCACGAAAAGACGAATCTTGAAAGATTACATTATTCTAATCAAACAACAAGAATAATAATTCAATTCGATATTGTAATTGGTTCATGAAATTGTAACTGCGAACTGAGGACATACTCCATACAAGAGAAAACAGATAGCTACAATGGATGTTCCTAACAAGAGGGCAGCTTCATCAATATTTGAAGATTTATCAAATGTGGAATTTGAAACCAGTGAAGATGTGGAAGTTATCGAAAAGTTCAAAAACATGAATCTGAAAGAAGAACTGCTAAGAGGAATCTTTGCATATGGTGAGAGATTGTTTTGAAAAATAAGGTCACTCTTTATATTAACCTACATTTGTTTTCAGGCTTCGAGAAACCTTCAGCTATTCAACAACGAGCTATAAAACCTATTATGAAAGGCAGAGATGTAATTGCACAAGCTCAATCTGGTACTGGTAAAACTGCCACATTTTCAATTTCAATTTTGCAAGCAGTGGATTTGACTATGAGAGAAACCCAGGTGTTGTGCCTATCACCAACAAGAGAATTGGCTGTTCAAATACAAAAAGTTATATTAGCTCTTGGGGACTTTATGAATGTCCAATGTCATGCATGCATTGGAGGAACAAACCTTGGAGAAGATATAAGAAAACTTGATTATGGTCAACATGTTGTCAGTGGTACTCCAGGAAGGGTATATGGTATGAAAGTATAAATATTTCAAGACTTATTCAATTACTTCAATGATTGACATTTCTAGGTATATCTAGAGAAAAAACATGAAAATTATTATAAATTGTTAGTTTGTCATAACAGTAACCAAGGATGCTCTAAGAGTGATTCCACATTAGTAAATTTGAATTTTTTTTCAGATATGATAAGAAGAAGAGCTCTACGTACCAGGGCAGTGAAAATGCTGGTACTAGATGAAGCTGATGAGATGTTGAACAAGGGTTTCAAAGAACAGATCTATGATGTTTATAGATTCCTTCCTCCATCTACACAAGTAGTTCTTATATCTGCTACATTACCCCATGAAATTCTAGAGATAACTTCAAAATTTATGACTGATCCAATCAGAATCTTGGTGAAACGGTGAGTACAATAATAAGAGAGTTGATAATATGGTTGCTGAATTTGAGAGGATATGGATAGGAATAGGCAACAATCAGTTTGGAAATATGTTTTCATTTTTAATTGAATTTGTCAACATAATATTGTATTATTATTGCACAAGACATTCTAATCACCCCTACAAAAACATACATAAACTGAACACTTACAGCCCCCAACTATAAAAGTTGGCATGGTTTGTAAGCAGTTTGTTTCAATACACTGGTTAAATCTGTACTTTGTAACAGAGCTCTCTCATAAGTTAAATTTATTATATAGATTTAAGACTAGTATCAATAATATTGATAATGATATAGGGAAAATGATATAGGGAAAGAAACTATTATTATTATCATTCCAATAATTGTGGAGAATTTGTTATGAAAGAAAATAATTATCTATAGATAATAATAATTAAAATGCATCTAGATATGAATACAATGTTGCATTCTGTGCATTATTGCCGTATGCTTTATATGGTGTTAGCTCCTCCCTCCAGGGACACAATTTTTTGTACTGATCACAACACTTACCCATTGCATGGTTTCTCTATGAAAATTATGTTTGCCAAACGTGTATATTATAATTGAAAAAAGTATCGTTTTTTTTTATCAAATCTGGAAGCTAAAATTCCCAAGTTTTAAAAAGTAGAATTTCTTCTTGAAACTTGGAATTTTTGGGTTCCAAATAGCCTGAATGGATGAGGCATTTGTGTTGAGAGAATAATGCCTGATATATATGCTTTCCTAATTTTTTTGGGGCCTTGTTTGTTATTGTTAAAGAGCTATGGAAAATATGAATCTTCCTATTCCTATAATGTATATATTAGGATGTAGGGCTTTTGGAATATTATATTTTGAAATAAAAGGCTTAGACTGCTTAGAGAATCGGCCGACTGGGCCGACCCCTTATGAAATAATGAGATTTCACCACCTTAAAGTGCAACAGAAATTAAAATTTCCCCGTTTTGGGATCTTCTTGTGTTCATTAAAATTAAATATTTTCAATTTCTTGCTGATTAATTGTATTGAAACAACAAATCTGAGATATGTCTTGAAATCAGATTCATTAGTTTGATTGACTGATTGTTCTTTATTACCCCAAGAAACATTAATGTCTATAATAGGAATATATACAACAAAACATACACATAACATAATAAATCAAAACAAAATAATTGCACAATTATTGTTTTTCATAAAAAAAATTATAAAATAAAATATAAATATTATTATAGTTATGAATGTCATTCTGAATATTTCTGGTTCCAGTGATGAATTGACCCTGGAAGGAATCAAACAATTCTTTGTGGCAGTGGAAAGAGAGGAATGGAAATTTGACACTCTTTGTGATCTTTATGACACCCTCACAATCACCCAAGCTGTGATCTTCTGCAACACAAAGAGGAAGGTAGACTGGCTAACGGAGAAAATGAGGGAAAACAATTTCACTGTGAGCGCCATGCATGGAGACATGCCACAAAAGGAACGTGACAACATCATGAAAGAATTCAGGTCTGGTCAGAGCAGAGTGCTCATCACCACTGACGTGTGGGCGAGGGGTATTGACGTGCAGCAAGTCAGTTTGGTCATAAACTATGACTTGCCCAACAATCGTGAGTTGTACATTCACAGAATAGGTAGATCTGGTCGTTTTGGACGTAAAGGTGTGGCCATCAACTTTGTTAAATCTGATGACATCAGGATTTTGAGGGATATTGAGCAGTATTATTCCACACAAATTGATGAGATGCCTATGAATGTTGCAGACTTGATATAAAAATATGTTATTTCATATAAGTATAATATTTTTATATTTAGCATCATCTGAATGACAAGAATGTATTTAATTGTGTAATTCTTTAAGGTCATTAAATAATGTCTAATTTTTTTGTAATTCATAAAATTATAAGTAACTCAGGATGACTGTTTAACCCAGCATCACCCAAGTTGGAGTCTCAGACGGCCAGACATATTTTAAATCACACTTCATTCTGTGATATTCTGGTGCAAATCCAGTCTTTGGTTAGCTACCAAAATAGTGACCGTGCAGTAAACATCTTTGAGGTCTGAGAAGCACCACCTGTGTCAAAGATATAAAATTTATTTGAAGAGATACATGTTAATTCTCATAAAAAAATGAATCTTATCATTTTTTTTCCTTGAGAATTTCACCATTTATATGTCTGATGATATCTCATGAATTAAACTTATTATAAAAAATGTATGTTAGTAAATACAACTAAAAACACATTTCACATACAAATCTGGAGAAATTCCTAATAGTTATTTGTTTCTAATTATGGAGTTCATCAGACCCCACCTGGGTGATGATGTACAGATTTTCTATCTGGGTGACGCCGGGTTAAGTTCTCCTACACCTATTGACCTATATTCTACCAATGAATTTTATTATATTCTTGGCATGGAATTATTATGGGTACAGCATCTCAGGTACAGCTAAGCATGAGAGGAAAAATATATAATAAAAGTAAAATGAAGGGATGAGAGATATATGTGTGGCCTTTTTACTCAGAGGTTTGGAGGAGACCTCTGATAGGTATTGGATATATGAAATCCTCCTACAGATTAATTTCTAGATCTATCAGGCGAATTCAATTCCTAAGATTAATTAGTTCAAGTATGTCCAAATTGGTGAAAACAATTCAAATTATTTTGAAAATAAACATGTAGGGAGATACCCATTTGCATAATTCGTTTAGTAAAAAATATATTTTTTCTATGACTACTACTGTAATATCAGAGATTATACACCCCCCAATATTCATCACCTATTGTAGACAAAACAATGTCAGGTATGCTTCTCCTTACGCACGTGTGGGTAAAGCGACCGATATCACATGTTTTTCATTATATGTTGATAGAAGACTTCTTAGGCGATGGTGGTCAGTATAGGTCGACGATAAGATTATTTTTACACCACTAGAAATTCTGGAAAGAGCAAAAATGGCAACAAATGAGTTGCTACATATACACATACTGCATACCCTATATATGGAATGACAGAAGCATTGTCTGCTAAATATGAAAAAAAATCTAGATTTTTTTCTCTATATTCAGTAGACAATGGACAGAAGTTATACAATACTGGCATGTATTAAATAGCAGTAAATAGTAAATCAAAAGTTGAGATAGGGACATGTGAGCCGTTTTGACAGATAATGAATAGTTTCGCCAGAAACAAAACTTGAAGTTGAAAAATCTCGATTTTGAACACCCTATCTCTGTAATCATTTCCGATAGACCCCAAGTGTGATGCATCGATGAAATCAGCTCTTCAGGAAGAATAAAAATACAGAGCATTCTATTTGGAATAACAAAGTTGTAGCTACTTTTTGATAGAAGCGGCAACAATGCATTGCTGAAAATATTTTAAATGAAGAGAGCGTATTCTAAAATATGAGCATGCATATTTTCATGAATGTCTCCCGAATGATTCTCGATATACAGATAGTGTGAGCTCGTCGTGACATACCCTGTATAGTAAATTAGACATAATAATCGTTAAAGTAAAACTTGGAAACTCCATAACCCACTATACTATATATCTGTTCCCCCTGTATAATTTCATTATCGTCATTAGTCATAGATAACTCATTTGTTCGGAGATTAATCGGTTATAGCAGCATGATTCAACCTATTAGTCATTCATTCGAGACCAGAGGTGGTGAATCAAGACAGTCTTATATTAGATGTCATCACGTACGGTCGAAATTTGTGATCGCAATTGAAAAATACGCGAAAGGAATTATTTATCTTTCCAAACGGAGTGTTCACTTGAAAATGAGTGCAAGTATTGTGTTTTTGTGTTCCTCATACAATTCAGTTTCATCAAATCTTCACATTTTTCACGCAGGTGAGTGAATCGAGATTCTCTAAAATTTCCCTCATATTTCCCTGTTTATATTTAACTTAATTACTTTATATGTTTTGAAAATAAGAAATATCCGTTCGTTGAATATTTTCCGATGATAAGGAATACTTTCTTCTGATTTTCGTGCTTTCCGTTCAGAACTATATTTTTTCAGAAGATAATAATGCGAAAAGAGCAAACCAGAAGAAAATAAGACGATTCGAAATATCTTTATGGAAAAATACCTTTTGCCTACACAGGGTGTTTCAGATTCATTAATAATAATAATATCGATATGAATACGTCAGACTTGATGAGAATAGTCATGGTACATTCAATTGGAAAATCAGAAAATATAATTGAAATCACTGTTGAAGTTTGAAATGTCACTCATAAGGTATCATTGAATTCAGTGATGCAGAATTCGAAAATGCAATGATATACAGGGTGTTGCATTTGAAAATCAAAAGTATATTATCATTTCCGGTGAAACCGGAAGTGACAAATGCAACTTATTTATGTAAAAACATGACGTTTACTAAGTTAATTGGTCATTCCAAATTCCAATCACATCTTCAAAACTAAAAAGAAAAAGGGTGTGTACCATGATCCTGTTATACCCAGTATAAGGTTTTTGCCAAAATTATACAGGGTGTTTCATAATTGAATGCTGATCCTAAAAGGCGATAATCCTTGGATGATTTTAAGAAAAATTCTTCATGTGAACATAGGTCCGTAACAGCTTCGTTTCTGAGATACAGGATGTTGAAATTTAACAAAAAAATTAGTTATTCCTCAATATCTCTGAAACCGCTCTGGCTTTTTTCTTCAAGTTTGGTACATGCCAAGTATGAATAGAAATACATTTTTTCCATAATGAAGGATTTCTTAATTTCCATCAGTGGCGTCCCTGTTAACATACCCTGTCATATTTTTCATCGAAATAATGATACGCCACTGTCCTTTTTCCAAATAAATATTATTTTTGTAATTATCCTCTATCTTCTCATAAAAATGGTCTCTTGTCTTTTTTTCTTCCGGCGAACGGTTTTTGAGTTAGAAAATAAAATGCATTCATTTCCTTGTCCCTATTCGATTTTTACTCCTAGTCATAATTCCACAATTGTGGTAACCAAAAGATCTAAGCAATATTTTTATAATTTCATGGTAACTATTTTCAAGTATTTGTAATGAAGAAAAAAGCCAGAGCGATTTCAGAGATATTGGGGAATAACTGCATTTTTTTGTTAAATTTCAACATCCTATATCTCAGAAACGAAGCTGTTACGGACATATGTTCACATGAAGAATTTTTCTTAAAATCACCCAAGGATTATCGCCCTTTAGGATCAGCATTCAATTATGAAACACCCTGTATATCTGTGCCCCCTGTAAAATTTCATTATTGTCATTAGTCATAGATAACTCATTTGTTCGGAGATTAATCGGTTAGCAGCATGATTCAACCTATTAGTTATTCATTCGAGACCAGGTGGTGAATCAAGACAGTCTTATATTAGATGTCATCACGTACAGTTGAATTTTGTGATCGCAATTGAAAAATACGCGAAAGGAATTATTCATCGTTCCAAACGGGGTTTTCATTTAAAAATAAGTGCAAGAATTTTTTTTTGTGTTCCTCATTCCATTCAGTGATTACATTATCGCGATCGTGTGCTGTTCTGGTTTTTCGTATTGTTTGATCAAAGCATGGCATTTTTCACGCTGGTGAGTAGAGAGAAATTCTCTCAAGTTTTCCTCATATTTCCATCTTTACTTTCAACTTCAATATCTCCGAAACGGAGCGCGATATACTTTTTTTTATATGAAGTACCAACATTATTTTGGCTCACTCTATCAGTCCTATCATTTACAACATTACCATGAAAAAAAAACAAGCATTTTTTGACATCTCTGTCGGTCTTCGAATCAATGGGTTATTCAGCAGTCGAATAATACGAAATTATGAAAATATTGCGGAAACTTCGGTGATGCAGCAAGAATTTAGTCTAAATCGAATTTCTCTTCCAGATTAACAAGCAATCAGACAGAAAGCAAAGTGTTTGATACTTGCCACTAAGTCGAAGAAAACCATCCAGTCAAGACGAACCGAACAAAAGATCCGTAAAGAGAACTGACCAGAGTGAATTTTTCAAAATTCAGAACCTTATATTTGTCTATGAAAACACGACAGGTACCCTTACGAGGGTAGAGTATCAACTCGGTGTTTATAAACCCTCTCTACAAAGGAGGTCGGCGCATGGTGGGTTAGGTATATTTTTTTTATCGCTTGGAGCGCACGAAAGGGAATCCCTATAATATTCAAAAAAATATATCGCGTTTTAGTTACGAATGTTGAAAACAATATTCAGGCTTGATAGTTTCATATTCTATGTACGTCTCACGATTCAAATTTCAAATTGAGTTTTAGATCCGAGCAGCACACTGTTTGGCATTCATGGTCCTTATTATAACCCACGAAATTCAAAATGTAGCAGATGTCTACTGGGAAAACCACTATTCGGAAGGAAAGCGAATATAAAGCATTCCAGTTACGGTCATTGGAAATATTATTGAGGTATGTTTCAGATTCAACATCAAATTCAATTCTCATGGAGTTTCTGATATGTGATGTTTAGTTGCAGATCCGAAAAGCAGTGTTTGAAACTTGGCAATAAATTGGAGGAAACCATCCAGTCAAGTCGGACCAAATAGAAAATCCGCAAAGAGAACTTACCAGAGTATACTTTTCAGAATTCTGATCCTTATATTCGTACGGAAGGCGATATATTGAATTCCTTTCCAGATACATTCTCAAGCAAACAGATAGACAGATATTCACCTTTATGTCTCTATGGAAACACGACAGGTACCCTTACGAGGGGAGAGTATCAACTCGGCGTTCATAAACCCTCTCTGCAAAGGAGGTCGATGCTTGGTGGGTTAGGTATATACAGTGTTTTTC